TGGTGGTCAGCGTTGGCTAAGGGTATGCCGCAGCCACCTGATAATCAGTGCGCTGGTCGCCTCAAGACCTTTGTTGTCCACGCCGTCTCGCCCTGGCCCCGCGCCTGCGAGTCCGCGGAGGCTGGGGCAGAGTTCGACTTGAGCGATGCCTGCGACAACATCGACTTCGCGGTTGGTACCCGCAGTTGTATCTGCAGTGGAGTCCCGCCTGTGGCGGCCTTCTCTGCGCTCGCTGCTTGGCGGGGGCCGAGGCGCTGCTGAGTGGCCCAGGCGCTGGCGCCGCCCATGCGGCCAAAACGAGGGCTGCCACGAGGTGATTCAGCTGCCCCCGGTGCGATGATATCGTCATTGGCACCGGGGCGGCCGTGCCGGGGAACGCGCTACATCGGCGGTCGGTCCATCGCGGCAGCTGCAGTTGAAGCCCTCGACGCCGACCATGCCTGCGCGTAGTCCTTCGACGTGGCGGTAGGGTTCGAGGAGAAACAAGCCGGGAGGCAACGGTGGGCGCGCTCAGATGCTCTCCGCCAGTGCTGGTTGAACGCCTTGGGGTTGTGGCCATGCCAGTGGACCCCGCTCGCCTGGTCTGGCCTCGTGCTGTTTAGGATAAGTTGAATGTCGCCATCCTCGCCCTGTCCTCGTGTCTGGGTACCGCGGCAGTGCGGGGGAGGTTGGCTATCTCATACATTCGCCCCCTATGGTTTTGGGAGTGTCCCGTGTTGGCTCCGCCTCCTGAGCTGACCAGCAGGACGCTCTCCGCAGCAGTCATCGCGACCAGGAATATGTGGTGGTGCTACGGAAGATGGTGGGCCCAGCGTATCAATTTTCAGCTGCAGATGTCGGGTGCACTGCGTGCCTTCAAGGTGATCGTGGACGAGCGGCTGCGCTGGTCTACATTCGTGGAGAACGCGACGAAATAGCACGCGACCGTTGCAGGCCTTCGTTTCCTCAGTTACGCAGATTGTCGGGGATGCCTCCTGGATGTGGATGAGCATGGCGACCGCCGAGTACTGAAGCTCGTGGAAGCGACGGGGCGAGAGTTCGGGGCGCACCCGCCCAAGGAGCCGAGGTACAAAAAGCGCGTCGAGCACGTGCTGAGGTGTATTGCACGAGTTCGGTGTCTGGCCATGGTCAATATAAGCGGGCGGGCGCACCTGATATCCTGGATGTCGATGTTGATGCTGAGTCCTGGCCATCTTTCAAGAAGTTTGCCAAGCAGCTGTCGGAGAAGCAAAAGGCATCCTTGAACATATTTCGGTCTGTGGGGCCGTAGCTTCGGAGACGCGCAGAAACTCGGGATTGCCTTGCAAACGCTGCCAGGCCATCAATCCCTCATTTCGACATTTGTGGGCTGAATGCCCAAAGTATTTACGCTTTCGACGTGCCATTGGCGATCGTCACGGACTGCCTGGTCTTTTTTTTTTTGACGTCGGACTCTAGGGTGCGGGCCAAAAGTGGATGGGTCACTTTCAGCTGCCACCCCAGCCCGAGGATGAGGATCACCATGCTGATCGCCGCCTGTGAGCTGGGGATTCAGATTTTGGGAGAAGGTCTCGATGAAATGCTACATCCATCGCCACATCGGCAGGCTTTGCTTGCTGGTGCTGATCGTAGTCTTGGTGGTGGATAGCGTTGTCAGCTATGGGGCTACTCCAGAGTTCGGGTGCTCCATTCACCATCTTCTTCTTCTGGTTCTCGACCAGATGTGCCACAATGCCCTCTGCCCCAGTTGGGTGCCCGCTCGAACTCTTACCAGGAGGCTGGGCGCACGCGGCATGGCCGGCCTGGGCGAGCGCTGGATGCACACGTGGCCGGATGTGTTTCCCGCGGTCGGCGTTTCTATGGCTGGGCTCGCTGGGCTTCCGCACCTGGGTCCAGCGCGCGGCCTCTGGATGTTCCGCGTGTGAAACCGGCCATGTGTGTGTGTGTGTGTGTGTGTGTGAGTGTTCCAGCTTCTCGTTTCGTTTTATTCGCCAGTGTAGTCACTCCGCCCAGTCGCCGACGTAACAAAAAGTGTTCCAGCTTCGTGGCGCTGCCAGTTTTTTGCGTCAGCGCTGCACCCTGAGGCTTCGACCGATGCCAAGCGGGCCCCCGCCAGGGCCGCTTCGAGTGGCGCCACCGCTTGCTCCACTCCCATCCAGCGCGGAGCTGACCCCGCCTGCCGTCCTGCCATGGACGCCATGCCCGCCTGGCCCTCTCCGCGCCGCGGGGCAGGCCGGGCCCCGCGAGCCCCGGCTTTTGCCGAGGCGGACGCCGTCTGGACCGCGAGGCATCCTTCGCCCTGCTCCTTCTCTTCCTCCTTTCCTGCCTCTTTTCGTTTTTTTTAACAGTCGCACAAAACTTGAGTACTGCTTTCCTGTCTCTCTCTCTCTCTCTCTCCCTGTCTCTCCCGAAGACTGCCCGAGAGTGGCGCGCCCCTCAACCCGCGTCTTGCTTGTTGCCGCAGTGCTGATCCGAGTGTAGGCTTCGCCAGCAGGCGAGCATCTGCTTGAGAAGCCTCCTCCCGAAGAGCTGGGCCAGCGTTGCTGGACCAGCTCGTCGGGAAGCTGGCGCAGTCTTTTCAGCGCGTTCGTCCCTGCAGCGTTCACGCGTAAACTTGGTCCAGGTCTGTCTAAAAAAGTCAACGGGAAGCTGGCCCAGGTTTCTTACATGACAGTTTTTTGGATCACATTTCGGCTGTATGTGCTTCTCCTATCCGAGAATTCGGTGTCCTTCCAAAAAGGTCTCCCCGCTGAAACGTTGGCCTCGATTTGGGAGCAACGTTTTGCTCCTGTCGTTCAAAGCGCGGGCCATGTTTCTGGATCCGACTATTCCTCGTCGCTGTCACCCACTTCCTTTCCCCTCCCCCGCCCTCCCCCTGGTCCTCCTGCTTCTCCCGCTCCTCCTGCCCATTCTGTTGCATTTTTCCTCCGTCCTCCTCATTCCTCGTCTTTTTACTCATGCTGATATTTTCCCTTCTCCCTCCTGCTCCTCCTCCTCCTCCCTCCTTCCTCTTCCCTCTATAGATAATTCTTCCTTCGTCCCTACCTCCCTCTTTCCCTCCTTCCCTTCTTTTCTCCCTCCCTCCTCAATCCTCCGCAACTCAGGCCAATCCTCCTCCTCCTCTCCCTCCTCCTCTGCCTCCTCTTCCTCCTCCTCTTCCTCCTCCTATTCCTTGTCCTCCTCCTTCTCTTCCTTCTCTTCTTACGCCTGTTCTGAATGACTATTCTGTTTCCTTGTCGCTCTCCTGGACGTGTCGGTCGGGCGGGCCGGATGTTCGGCCTGAGACTTAGATGTTGAAGCTTGAAGTTTAAAACAGTTACACGGATGGCGGGAGGTGGGGATTCGCTTGCAACATAGGGCTCTCCATATAGCTCCGCGCGCATTCGTCTGAAAAGCTTGCAGCATTTATGTCTTTTCTTCACGTCGCGCACATTTCGTCTTAGTCCCAACAGTGTGCGTCATCTATAAGAATGGAGGTCGGTTCCCGTACAACCTCTGAATCTTGCTGTGCACATGTATTTTTCAAAGTTTTCAGCAATCGCAGGGATGTAATACCCTTTCTTGCAGTGTAATGCTATGCTACATATGTCCAGGTATATACATACATACATACATACATACATACATACATACATACATACATACATACACATACATACATACATACATCCATACATACATACATACATACATACAGACATATATACAAACATACATAAACACATACACACATACACACACACATACATACATACATACATACATACATACATACATACATACATACATACATGCATACACACACATACATACATACATACATACAGACAGACAGACAGACAGACAGACATATATACATAAATACATACATACATACATACATACATACATACATACATACATACATACATACATACATACATATAAACACATAGACACATATGTAAGCATAGGGCTTTCGCTTGGGCCTTTCTTGACATGATCTACCATAACCTTGAACAGCTTGCAGGAGCTGCACGGATGGAGGGCGATCAATTTCTTCTGGGGCTTTCACTTGGGACGTTCTTCAAACTCATGATCAGAAATGCAAGCTTGCGCAACAGTTGCACAGCGGTGAACTTATGACCATAAGCTCGTGTGATTGATTATGCGCGAGAAGGATGCAAGGCAGCTCCTTTTCAACACGGGGTTCTCGCCTGAATGGCAGGGCCGTAGGGTGCTGGTCTTTCAAGGGGGTCCTCTTGTAGTGAGAAGGAAGGCTCGTAGGGACTGGTGAGGGGACTTGTGGCGGGAAGGTGTACAACTGCATCGTTGATTCATCTTGGGTTTACTTTGGTCCTCGTGCTCCTCGTCCTCCTCGTCCCTCCCTCCCTCCCTCCCTGCCCCCTCTTGTCCAGCGCTGGCGGGTGAGTGCCGCACTTGCGCTCAGGCGCGCTGGTCCAGCGCCATGCACTGCGCGTCTTACCATCATTCTGAGATCATCCGCCGACGCATTGAGGGCAAGTTTCGCCCTCCTTCTCGGACCTGCCTCCTTTCGGCAGCGAGCCCAGGGGCGGGCCTTCTCAGAAGAGGCGAAAGCCCCCCAGCCTTCCGAGAAGTTTTCGAAGCCTTCCACGAAGACACAGATAGCTTCTCAGGAGGCGCCAGGGGGATTCAGAGAAGTCCCGCCGCCGCCCTTGAGAGGGCCCGCCCCCTCTGCCTTCTCCCCCTTCTCGCTTTCCCCCCCCGCTCGCCGCTGGCCTTCGGAACCAGGCCAGTCCATGCTCCATCTGGCCTCCCTCCCTGCCCTCCTCGCCGCGCCAACCCGCGCGAGAGAGACGAGGACGAGGAAGAGTTTGAGAGCGACGATCGAGGATCGAGGATCGAGGAGCGGCGCGCGCGGATCGAGGATCGAGGATCGAGGATCGAGGAGAGAGGATCGAGAGCGGGGATCGAGGATCGAGGATCAAGGATCGACGATCGAGGATCGAGGTTCGAGGAGCGGCGCGCGCGGTGAAGCAGCGGGCGCGCCGCTCGCCGAG